TATCTTCTTCATAAATATAAGCAATCTACAAATTTGATCAATCCACCTACACCATTTTAGGGAAAACTACATGTTTACATGAAATATTCATGTACTTTCTATTTTATAGCAAATACATACACATTTTTGTGCATTCTCATGCTACATTCATAAACTGATGCAGAAACAAGCTGGCAACAAATTTATTGTTGGTAAAATGCATTGTTGAGAAAAGCAATCAACCCACTATCCCTACCCTTAGCCCTAGTCGAATACATTGGAGGACAACAATAAGGTTGGAGAAGGTTGGACGATTGTTTTACAACAGGTCTGTGTAAGAAAAGAAGGCAGTTTGTAGCTGCAATTAGATAAATTGTGGTTAGTTTTAAGGAGAACAATTGTACTTTGAGTGGAAAGTTTGTTCCTGATACAGAAGTGCTAACTTGCTTTTACTATTGTCTGCTTATATATATTTGTAAGTAAAGTATCAGTAAGATGTTAAACCTGAAATGCTTGCATGGTCAAGGGAAACTAAACTATATACTCCTGGAACATATCAGGAATTTTGAGGCACATAATTTTATAGTATAAATAAGCAATATAAATTCTACCAGCACAGTCTTCTTAGATTATTTTTCCTCCTGCTTGCGTCAATGGGATAGGGAAGATATATTTACAAACTGATGTTAATTTTGACATCTACATTCTGGCAGAAATTCAGGCAGTGATATATAAATACCGAATCTTTACAAAAATTTATTAGCATTATAATATATGTCAAGGTTTGCTCTGTGGAACTTTGTCCAGATTTGTAGCTCTAACACCTTTTTTGCAAATACTTACAAAACGGGCTCTCACTCTTTTGGGTAATTCTTCATCAAGAGTGTAAAGTTCTTCCCTTTTTGTTGCTATCTGGGAGCCATCTTCAAATTCTACCTGATAGTAAAATAAATGAATTAATCAAATAATTATTAACTGTTTTTTGCATGAGGTAGCATAGCTAACTAACTATTTCAGCTGTATGTACTGTAAAATCCACATGAATAAAACAATAATGTAAAGAAATACTAAAAAAGAAAGATGAAAACATTAAAATGACAGACTTTTTTTTAACAATGCAATAAGCAGTTAAGAAAATCACATATTTTATTTTTTTGTAAATTGTGCCAAAATGCTGAATGATTTTGTAATTCTCATCTAAAAGATTAATTTCAATACCTAAGTAACTTATCTGGGCACATCTTTTCACTTTTTGGGCAACACAAATGCCACAATAACAAAAGTTATATAAAGGAAAGGAACATTTCTCTTTTCCTATCTCCTGCAGACCCCCTTCTCAAAAGGCCATCACCGGACCACTGGACAGTTATTGTCCAGTCTCCAACCTTCCCTTTGTGGGGAAGGTGGTTGTGAAGGTGACTGGACACTAGTTGCTGAGGGTCTTGGAGGACATGGATTATCAGGACCTGTTCCAGTTGGGTTTCAGGCCAGGGTATAGTACAGAGACAGCATTGGTTGTGCTGGTTGATAACCTGTGGTGGAGCCAGGAAGGAGGTGGTACATCTATCCTCATGCTCCTTGATCTTTCAGCAGCTGTTGTTACTATTGACCATAGTATCCTTCTGGACCAGCTGTGAGAGCTGGGAGTGGGAGAAACTGTGATCCAATGGTTCACCTCCTTCCTCAGTAGTCAGTTCCAGTTGGTGTTGACAGAAGGGGAGAGATGATGACCATGGCCCCTCACTTGAGCGATGACTCAGGTTCTACTCTCTTTTAACATCTATGTGAAACTGCTAGTTGAGGTCATCTATCAATTTGGGGTTCAGTATCATCAGTAGATAGATGTAGAGAATAAAGAAGTAGCCTTGATGGAGTTATGCTAGCTCTGCTGCCAAGGTGATTAGGTGCAAAATGTATTTTAATCCATAACAGATAGATAATATTCAGAAGAATCTGAGACAAACACCTCCCTAATTCACTGAACTATAAGTAGGAGGAGGTACAATATAATCAAACTTGGAAGATTCTGTTATTATAGCCACTCACAATAAAAGTAGTTTTAGTTTTCCTGTGGAGTTGATTTTTTGGTCAGAAGTTAAGACTGAAAGCAACTACTTATCAGACTATCAGACCCTAGCAGTAAAAGAAAAGGAGACGGTTTGGGGCCTCAAGAAGGTGGACCTAGGAGACTTAGAGATAAAGAAGCAGAATTCCTGGAAAAGAACAGATGAACTGAGAGGGACTGGCCAATCACAGGCCAAGGTCAGCATAATGGTTAACCAATCAGAAGTGGCAGTATATTTTAATCTCTTGACCAAGCAATGGTGAGTAGGCAGGACACATCAGAGCCCTGAAAAAGGTATAAAATATCCAATCCCAGGAGATATAGGTCTTTGAGGGAATCTATGCTGCTGAACTTGGGTTCTGTTCCTCCCACTGCTTTATATGACCCTGATCTCACTAGACCAACCATCTAATTATTGAGCCCCAACAGCTAAAGATGCTAGACAGCATAAGAACCATGGCTTTATAAAACATTTGAATGGAAAGTTTTCTTAGTCTTTGTCCTGCTTGCTTGCACTCTTTTGGTTTATGAATAAAAGCATAGACATCTCTGAAGGTTGGGAGGTGAGGTTTTCCCCTGTCTTTTGATTGCTAAAGCCAAGCAAGAAGTATGTGCTGAAAACTAGGAACATCTCTGAAATAAGTAGCTGCTAAAAAGAAAAAAATTAGTGAGAGTGTGTTATCAAAAATAAGACTGTCACTATAGTACTGTTCTCTATCCTTATTAAAGGAGTCAGAATTCCAGTTCCTCTGGTACCGTGTTCTGTAAATGCTCTCAAGCCTAAAGTAAGGATCTCCTGAGCTTCTAAAGAAAAGTAATTCTGGGAGACTTTCCAAGTGCTTTGAGTATAATTTATTTCTGGCATGAATGAATGAATGAATGAATGAATGAATGAATGAATGAATGAATGAATATGTTCAAGTTGGGATGTTTATCCAGGCTTACAGACAGAATACTATATGAAGCTGAGTCAATCAGTGGGTAACTAGAAGTTGGGCTAATAGCAAAACACACAAGGAGATATCTAGTCTGTCAGACCTCCCTAGTAGATTGGACAGAAAACATGTAAAAAAAAGAGCTTCCCTTCAGAACATGACACCTACCCAAGGGCTAGGACCTTTATTCCAAAAAAACATTTGTCCTAAATGTAGAAGTTGTGACTGGTAGCAGACAATTTTCTTATTGTCATATTTAAATCCTGAGTAGTGGAGCTAGCAGTTGACTGGATAAGAAAACATATTTTAGCTGGCTGTACATTGCACATGAATGTTTTCCATTACAAATGCCAAAGAACACAAACAGTTATGCAGCATATTAAAATAGCTTGGTGCATTTTCCTCTAATTTTCCAAGTGATAAGCATTAATCTTTCTGTTTTCAAGGTTGTGGAAGACTTATGTCAAAAGGAAGAAGGTATGAGTGATACTAAAGGAAATGCCAGTTAACAGAATCTGATGGAACATCTTTAAAATAGTCTGTTGAGAAGATGAAAAGCTTTATCATGCTTAGGTTTAGATCTAATCCAGTATGAACCTCTTTAGCAGAAAATGAAAAAGGGAATGCAGCTAGGTGTAGGGAATGCTAAATTGCTTTGCTGTTGCTGTATTAGTTGTGCCTTCCAAAAGTTTTAAATTACTTTGATACCACTTTTCAATGAACAGATATGGTGATCTGACCATATACAATTATTTTGTTTTCCTAACCAAATTAATTTTTTTTAAAAAACTTCAAAGATCCTATCAAATGAATTACATTTTATAAAAAATGCAGACATGAAAAATTTGTACAGAAAAATGTAACCCTATTCAAATTTAGTTAACACATATGTGAGAAGGATGATTGAAATTATACTGACCAGCTCTGCTCCTAACCTCCACCTAATGTTCATGTATTAGTCAGCAATTTTAGATAGAGCATATGCATGTAATACTTGCAGCCAACTTAATTTTTTTATTATTTAGTGTTGCATTTTGTCCCATCTTATATACAACACAGCACAAACAGGGGTCTCTCATCCATACATCAACCTGATGAGATACAATGACCTGAGAAAAAGTGAGTGGCCTAAAGTCAGCTCGGTAGTCAAATGAGATTTGAACCTGGTTCTCCTTAGCTGAATACACTATACTAGCTATCCTCTAGTAAACTACATTTTGTGTGTGTGTGTGTGTGTGTGCGTGTGCGTGCATGCGTGCACCTTTGAGTCAGTGTTGACTCCTGGTGACTGTCTGGACTAGTCCCTGCACTTTTCTTGGCAAGATTTTCAGAAGTGGTTTGCCATTGCCTTCTTTCCAGGGCTGAGAGAGAGTGAGTGGCCCAAGGTCACCCAGCTGTGATTAGAACCCACAGTCTCCCACTTTCTCCCACTTAATCACTACACCAAACTGGGTCTCAGATAAGCTACAATATCATTCATTATGTTCTCTCTGATTTCAGAGAAAACGATTAGATGGACCTGTGTTTTTCTGGATTTCTTTCAGAGTTATTAGAAGCTATTAGTAAACTCAGTTTTAAAAAGTTAATTATGGCTAATATATATATGGAAAAAACAGAAGCAGCTATAGTAATCTGGAGTAAGCCATCTTGCTCTATATTTTTAGCCTTTCCATTAAGGATTCAGTCATGGGTGTGCCACTCCTGTTACTTAAAAATCAAATTGGAAAACATTCCCAAATTGTTGAGTTCTAATAACAAGCAACGGTTATTCAGCTGGGTTTAATATGGAGAATGTCAATAGATTATTTCCAATGAGTCCAAATCTGAACTAGGCTTTACTTGCATCTGTAGATCAACAAGTTTGTCAATCACTATCCATATTAATTGGTATCAGCCTCAAGAGACATACACACATAATAATACAAACCCACTACTGCAATATCATATCAGATACATTTGCTATTTAGCTCTCTCCATTTCATTTTGTTGCATTAGAACATAATTAATTAGTGGTTTAATTGGAATTTCTGGAAAGTATTTGATTAGGTACACAGAAATTTAGTCACTGTCATAAGCTCACACATGCCAAAGGATCATGTAAGCAAAATGATAATGAGCTAAAGTTTGGGCTTATATTTTTACTAAAAAATACAACTCTCTACCTTTCTGACAGTCATGGCAGACATGTTTCCAAAAGTCATTAAAGTTTCTTAAATATATTCTTTTAATCCTATAGCAACTAGAATCTACATGTTTTGACAATTTACTTATATGGGCTGCACAGATGTGTAAAAAAAAAAACCAACTTCCTTGGGCATTTAACACTAAAATACTGACAGTATTATGATTTTTATTACACTAATATATTATACCGATACAATTATATCATACAAGTAGCAGTATATATTATACCAGCATTGATTATACTAGCTGGTATCGATAACCTTCTTCCCAAAAATCACCAGTACAATTATCTTGAAAAGATAATTATTTTTAATGATCTTCAATTATCTTGAAAAGAAAAGCAGCAGCAGTGCCAGTATGGAGAGAACTGAGTAACCTGGGCCATCCTAAAGAGATTATTTTAATTATAAGAGCCATTATAAGAACCATAAACATTAAGTACCTGATTTGGGGGTGGGGGGTTACCCCTTTTCCCTCTCCCCTCGTTTTTTTTAGATTAGTAGTCTAAAAAACATGCCAACAGAATATGAGCATTGTTGTTATTGTTACTATTAATATTCTGTAAGCCTGATAAGATGCTTCTCAGAGACTTAAAAATGTTTAAAAAATGAATGCTTTGAATAAATAATAAATAATAAATGGCCTTGTAGCTACTATTATGCCTGTGATAGCATAAAACCCATGTTTATCTAAGACAATGGTAAGAGGTGTTAGAGGACAGTCCAGGAAAAGTTTTACAGAGCTGAAACTTCTGGATTGCGTTCAAAAAAGTAATAGGTTTTGGATCCAGGAGAACTAAAGTTGATTTCATTAAAGTTAAATACAGTTCACAGAATTACTAACCAATCATATATTTATTATACATTACAAGTTAAAGTGTGCTAATACATTTTGGAGGTGATTTGGGGCTTATTCAAAGGATGATTCTGAATGTAGACTACATTTTATCTTATTAGATGTTCTATGTATTTTTTAAGCAGAATAGTAGAATAAAACTATTTGCATAAGTAATATAACAATATCTCAAAACTAGTAAAACTACTGTGTTGTATGTATGCTACCTGCTGTAATTTGAACTAAAGGGATAAGATGCCATTCATCAGAGGAGACCATTGTAACTGGCACAAAGTTCTTCCAAATGTTTAGTAATATACTGCTATTGAAGGCAATCTTAAAACCCTGAATCTGTGACAGGAAAAATATTACTGTATAGTCCTACTGGTTTAAGGTGAAGCATGCGCCCAGTTCCTACAATGTTTAACTGTGTCAACAAAAGGGTTAGTGTGTTGTAAGAACACGAGAATGGGTTTAATTTACCCAGGAGGTTAGGTTTAGTTCTGAACAGATCGAGCTATGGAGTCTGAAAGTGGGACATTTCTAGGCACTTGGTTTTTAAAACTGTGTTGGTTTACAGCCAAATTCCATTGACACATGGACAAAGGGATGAAAAATTAACAGAAATGGGTAGGAGCTAGGCAAAACTCATCTGAATCTGCTTTAGAATTTTGGGCTGAATATCTGAATATTATAAATTAGAATAAATTTCTCTGGCTTATTGATGTTGAATATTTTCTGCATGAGGAAGACTATTTTTCCTACCACGGCAAGCAAGAAACTGTGCTACTTTAAACAGAAGTGAAGCTAGAAAATTCTTGCCATTGGACATGAATACATAAAATTGCAAATTCGGGATAACATCATAGTATAGCATATTATTTCATAAAAGCAGAAAGTGGGGGGGGTGTCTTAGGGATCATCTATTTCAATCTGCTGCTCAGTGATTGTTCTAGCCCCATTCTCTAGAGCTACAAAAACAAGTTTACCAGGAATAGTTGCTACTATCAACATAATCCTAAACATATAATGAGCATCTGGGAGTAGTAAATGAAACTTACATTGTACATATAAGCTACATTAGTTCCAAGATATTTTGCACCATAAAGTTTTCCATCTGACCATTTTACTTGAACAACCTCTCCCTCTGCAGGTGGGCCAAACTTCAGGCAGTCTCTGCTCTATTTGAAAACAAAACAAAACTATGTTCAGTCAGTAAGCAAAAGGATAACATTTGAAAAACTCAGGACATGAGAAGAGACTCTTGTTTTTATCATGATAACTTGCACTCTTCAATTCTTCTCTGAAAAAAAAAATCTATTCCAAGCAGCACATATGAAAAGTCAAAAGAACACACAGATATTGGTGATTATGTATGAAAATGTAATCTAAGGCACAGATATTGTCACCGAAAGCCTTGTCACACAGTACAGGGCACGAGGGAGGGGAATATGGTTACAGAGAAGATTTCTCCTTACAGCTAACAAAATGTATTTGCTCAGAATCTCGGAGAGAAAGTAGCACTCAGACCATTCTACTTTGTGAAATATTTATATTCCCTATTACTTATTTTGTATCTATATCTTTCTCATGATTGTTTTGAAGAGCGTGTAAAAATATTTCTCCTCACAAGACATTTGCAGAGTAGATTAGGAATAAAGTAAGCTTTATTTGAAAACCTGGATCTCCTACATTTAGACAAGAAAGGCTCTCTCTCTATTTTCATATTAAGTGTCTCCCATAAACATGAAGGTAGAAGACAAACAAAATTCAACCAACAGATCTATCTTCATAAATTTCAGAAGCAGATTTTAAATATTTCAAAAATGTTCCAAATCCCTTGACATCATGTTCAAGATAGTGTAAAATTAGAATTAATATTGCATTACTACTCAGTGCAGGAAATTTCAATACAGTAAAAACTATCTCAGTTCCCCCAGAAGAAATACAGGGAGATTGGTTCCTTTAAGATGACTCTTAAAATAAAGACATATGCTCAAAATATGTCAAAAGAACAAGTGACTGGGAGATAGTATTTTACTCTGTGCTTAAGCTAAGAACTTTTTCTTCTCCTCAGTACATTTTTATTTCATAATTATTTCAGGAGTAACAGATATAACAAGACCATAGCAACATAAGTTGACATGTGAATATATGTGCCTTTTGACATCCACCATGAACTTGTATTGAAGAAAAATTCCATAATGTCATTGTTAAAGATCACATCCCTGGTTTTCAGTGTCCACCCAAACACCTACATTAATTGAAATGACCTATAATTTCAATAGTTAAAAGAAAGCCTTGGTGGGTAGAGAGGGGAGAAGTACTTATCTTGAAACAAAGGGGAAATAATGCTGGGATAAAAAACAAATATGAGAAAATATGAGAAACAAACAGTAAAAATAACATCTTTTACCAAATAGTAATGAACTGTGGTACACAAATAGCTGTGAGTAAGGCTGCTTATGAGTAGTGGCCAATCATGCCCAGATAATTTTATTATATCTGATACATTATAGCAAGATTTTCACTAAATATTAGACACTATAAAATCAGCTTCCTCTGTAGCTATTGGTCAGCTAACTACAGTTTAGTTACTTTTCAGTAAATCCCTTCTCCAGGCTAGGCATATGACAAACTAATGTAAAACACTAGGCAAACTAGCAAACATATTAGGAGAACCTAATTCACTGAATCAGGATTCAGTGACTATGTATTTTGGGTTTTTTTAAATAATAATTTTATTAAACATTACAATTAAAGAGATAAAAACTAATACAAATTAAAAAGTAAAAGGATAAAAAGAAAAAATAGAAAATGCAGAAAAGAAAAAAATATAGAAAAATAGAAAAGAAAGAAAAAATAAGAATATAGTGAAGAAAAAGAAAATAAATATATAAAGAAATGACTTCCCCCTTCATCACAAGTATAAACAATTTTAGTAACTTATCACCTTCTCTTAAAATACAACAAATGATCTCTTGTGAAGAAAAAGAAAATAAATATATAAAGAAATGACTTCCCCCTTCATCACAAGTATAAACAGTGAAGAAAAAGAAAATAAATATATAAAGAAATGACTTCCCCCTTCATCACAAGTATAAACAATTTTAGTAACTTATCACCTTCTCTTAAAATACAACAAATGATCTCTTCTTCCCACATCCCATCTCTTATCTATAAACAAATCCTTAAAGCCTCGTAGTTCAGTCCTGGTCAGCAAAAGGCCATTAAGGGTTAGCAGAAATAACAACATATCTGTTTTAAACTTGATCAAATAAACCAACTTTATATTCCTTCCTTTTACTTTTAACAATCTTGATTTTTAGTTCCTTCAAATACTGTCCTAGAACGTGATTTCTTTTAATTTTTTTCTTTGTCCCATCTCACAAATTCTTCAAAGCTTTAACAAGTTTCTTTTGTAAATCCAATATAGGAAAGTTATCCAGATCACTCTTTTGGTTTGTTATTTGTATATCCCTTTTAATTATTAAGACATCACCCGGTTTCATTTGTATATCCAATGTAGCATCTTTTTCCATATCCTTCTTGTAATCTGTCATTTTTAAATCCACTTTCAAATCAGTCTCAGTCTTGTCCAGTAAAACTTGTTCCTCTTCCATAGCATCTTTTAAACACAGTCTATCTATA